AACTCTTGTTCTTTCAGGTTATATAAATCTTTTTTTTTTTTTTTTGAGAGGTTTTTGCGTGCGCTCCCCAGCCAACCAGAGACAGACAGAGAGACAGAAGGTGAGAAATCACCCCCCAGGGGGGATGGCCACGCCGCAATCCCTTCTCCTCCATTCTCCCCTCGGGATCTTGGGCACACACGTACATGCACCTGGCGTGAGTTTAAGCCACCGGGTCCAGGACTCGAACTGTGGTTGACTACGTGGGAGTCCAGCAACATAGCCATTAAGCTAACTGCTGGTCCCCAGGTTATATAAATCTTGTCTTCTGTAATAAGTCTTGAAGTATTTGAAGACTGTTGTGTCCCCCTTCTCATTTTTTCAGAGTTTAAGTAATTTTGAAATCTTTACAGTTCTTGTACTCTTTCTAATTTGTGTGGATTGCAAGGCTCTCGTCACCTTAATTGTTCTCTTTGGGTGTGTCCTAGTTACAGATTTTTAAAACTCAGATTAAGAGAGATAATACTCCAGGTGTCACGTGTGCATTATTACCTCCCTTAGTAGATAGAGGTAAAGCATCCATAACAAAGAGCCATACACGGGCTAAAACAAAAGTAAACAACAGACTCTTGTGTAACAGTCCAGAGCTAAGCAACTGTTCCATGATACCATTCATGGTCCTAGTTTCCTTCTGTCTTTAAGTTTTCTGTTTCCTCTGATGTTACCATGTGCATAGTTGAGCCTGTCTCTCTACCACTCTATTTCCACCCTTAAAAGCAAGAAAGAGAAAGTGAAAGGCAAGCAGCTTCCTTATAAAGGCATGCTCTGGAAATTGCATGTGTAGCTCAGGCTAATAGCCTATTGGCCAGAACTTAGTCAGTCACAGGCCACACGGAACTGCCAGGGAGCTTAGCTCATTGGCCATATGCCCAGGATGTTCTCTTATGAAATAGGAGAATACTTACTAAGGGGTAATTAGTAGTTTGCTTATTTGGCATCAGTTTCATACAATTGGTGCATGTTGACTTTGTGGTCATAAATGCAGTTGAACTTCTGCTTTCCACTGTTAATTATTTAAATGCATCAGAAACATTTGCATTTATTAAATTTTTAAATGCAACATACAGACATTGTTAATCAGCAGCTCATCTCTGGTTGATTACTTCATTTCTATACTCAGCATAACCAAATTTGACAAATATTTATGACTACACACTAGGCACTTTTTATTACAGGTCTATAGTAGTAAATAACAGATTATTCTCTTTCACAGTTTACATTCAGACTTATTGCCTACTTACATGAGTGGTTTAAATCAGGGGTTGGCAAAGTTTTTCAAGTATTTCAGGCTCTGAGGGCCATACCTTTCTCTTGCAGCTATTAATACTTAACTGTTATTGTCAAGTAAATGGATGGGCATGACAGTGTTCCAGTAAAACTTTGGCAGCCTGGATTTGGCCTGTGGGATGTTATTTGCCAACCCCTGGCCTAAATTGAAAGCATGTTTCCTTATCAGTCATTTGTCAACTTCCTTTAAACTTATTTTCTTTCTTTGCATTTTTAAGAATTATTTTTAATTTATTTTTTGTTTATTATTATTGTTTTTTAAATTTTCTATAGGACATATGCACTCACCAAAGAGAGACACAGAGACAGAGATAGAGACAGAGACAGAAAACAAAGGCAAGCCACTATGTCCAGGACTTGAACTGTGCTTGGCCATATGAGGGTCCAGCATCCCAACCACCATGCCACTTGCTGCCCTCCCAACCTAGTTCTTTACTGAAAATGCACTCTGGAGTAATTAGTGTCTTCCTAATGGTCCAACTTGCTTGCTCACTTGTTTGCTTTCTTTTTTCATTATTCTTCTCTCAAGTCTTACTCACTTTAAAAATTATACTTTGTATATAATTTCCAAGTCTATGCCTCTGTTTCTTACCTTTTTTTTGATCTAGTTATAATTCCAAAGCCAATTCAGATAAAGCCTATAAATGTTAAGTACTTCATTTCTTTGGCTTTGAAACCTTATTTTCATTTCTTTTTCCTATTCTGTTTATTTAATCATTTTCAAGGATAAACAGTTTTAAAGGTGGGTAGTAACATGAAAAGTTATGGAGGCAGCACAGATTATTTCGAATGTGGAAAATGTGTTTTTATAATGTGACAAATGTGGAAATTTTCTTTAGAATGATAGATCAAATAATAGAGAAGGGCTTTTCCATGAAATGAATTTGAATTTGATGTAGTAGATAATATGGAGCTACTAAAAGATTTAAAACAGAAAAGTTGAATGTTAGTTTTTTAAAATATTTTTTTCCCCGATGAGATCATTCATAAAAGTGCATGGGGTGGGGCAGACCTGGTGGCTTGCTTCCTCACTTTCCTTCTCTTTCTCTGTCTTTATTTCTCTGTTCAAATTAAATAATAATAAATAAATAGAATTAAATAATTTTTAGAAAAAATTTTAATAAAAGTGCATGGGGTAGCTCTTGGTGCTGGGAATTCTGAAGTGAGAATATTGGTTCAGAGCTTTTTGCAATTCAGTTAGAAATTATTATTTCCCAAATTAAGGCAGTGAGACACTGCAGATTTTGAAATCTAGATTTTTATATTAAAGGGCTGAGGAAGAGGAACTTAAAATTCTTGATTTGGGAACTGAGAAAATAAGTATCATCAACTGGTGAAGCAAATTCAGAAGGAAAAGAAATTCAGGTTTAGGAATAGGTGGGAACTTTATAAGAAAAATAGTTCAGTGTTATAAGTACTACATTTGAGGGTGTCTGAAGCCTATCCAGAAGGCAGTTGTTTATGAAGGTCTGAATTTTCGGGAAAGTTTTAAGTTATCGATATACATACAGAATATAGCAGGACTCAGGTGGTAGTTAAATCTGTATTGAAACCACCTGCAGATAATGTGTTGAATGAGAACTGAGCCAACTCTGCAACAACACATTTTGGAGAGGAGAAAGCCTAGAAGGGAAGTCAAAAAAGCACCCTTTGGGTTTGGCTGTGGGTTAAGTCATTGGTAATTTGTTTTAGGAGCAGTGTGAGTAGAAAACTTACTGCAATGAAATGAAAAATGAATAAAAGTGAGGCAAGGATCCCATAGTACAGTGGTTAAGTGCTGTGCTGTGCATTGGGAGCCGGATCCCCACATAGTTGAATGCAGTTTGAATCCTGACCTGGTGGCTTGAAAAACACTCTGAGCATATGTGCATGTATTGCTCAAAATCCTGACAGAATAGAGAAATGGAAGAAGAAGGATTGTGGTATAATCATGACCCATTGGGAACTTTCTCTCTATGGTAAGCACACATACCCACTCATGTGGAGAGTGACCAATCTGAGCAGATATGGTGACCTTTATAGATGCACGCAGAAAAGTGCTTCTGTGAACTTCATTTGCATGGCTGTGAAATCATTTGCATATGAAAATGCTATCTGCCTGTTCTTGTCACTATCTGCCTATTGTCAATTTCTATAATATAGAGCAGTATCAGGCTAAAGGAAGCCACATGTGTTTATCAGATTCCACCCCAAAAAGATCAGAGAAATTACATGGTGCCAGTCATTTTCTTTACCAGGTATTACCTCTTTATCCTTGTCTTTGGTTACAGACTATGATTTGTTAGGTAGGAGGGAGGAATAGCGCCCTAAAGTGTTTATCAGTGGCGTTACTAAGCGAGCTCTGTTTTTATTTTACCCCCCACCCCCACCCCCAGGGTTTTGTCTCAAATACTCCTTACTTAAATTCCACAGAGAAAAGGCAAAAATGGGAATCCTGTTAGGACCCTCTGTTGTATATTGTTCCCTGATCTGTTCTCTGACCTTGTCCCAGGTCTCCTTATAAACCGTTCCTTGCTCTGGGAACCAAGTGCATGTTTCCTGCACAAACGTGTGTGTGCGTGCGCATGCCTAAAATCCTGACTGGATGGAGTAATGGAGAGGGGATTATGGCATCCTATATTCCATTTTGGGTGTACTTTGTACCTCTTTTGTTCTGTCTCTCTCTGATGAACACATGTGCCCTCTGGGGGAGGGGGGAAGGGCAGGGTTTGTGGGGGGAGAGGGGTAAAAACTGCTCAGTAACTAATCTGAGGTGGAAACCTTGGTTAAAATTCAGCATTCTTAGTCTCTAGTTTATGTGGATGCACAGGATTTGTCATGAAATGACTAGAGCAATAATATAAGCTTTTATCAAATCAGTAAATTTCATTTGAATTTGCCCCTGGCTATAAATCTGTATAGAACATGCCCTAACTTCACTAGATAGTTGATATAGCAAAAATGTACGTGTGCTTGCAGGCAACTTTAGACTCGAAAAAAGAGAAAGATCACGGAGGGTAACTAGGAAGACATCTAGAAAAAGAGAACTCTTGAGCTTGTCTTTGAAAAAATGGTTAAAATTTGAGTTGACAGTAAAAGAAATCACTCCAAGGTGGGCAGATTCAAGAGAAAAAGCACTAAAAGTAAAAATAAGTCTGGCTTAAGTTGAATAGAGGAAAAGATCAGCCTGTCTGAAGTGGAGGCCCTTATGTCCCTTATGTAGAAGTAATAGATTAGATTTATTAAAGTCAGCCTGGTATCCTGCCTGAAGTGAAGATTTCAAGTTAGGGAATATAGCAGGAATATGGAAGATGAATCTCACTATGGTTTTTTTTTTTTAACTCTGCCCTGACAATATCATTTTTCATTTGTTGTTTTTTCTTTCTCTAAATAAAGATCACATCAAGTTCAAAGTTAGCATTTTTAGAGGAGTTTAAGTAGCTTAATGTCTTTGAAATGTTGAAACTATGGGCTAACTTGCAGGTTGAAATTTCTGTTTGGGGCACATATTGTATGAGTGTATTTGTCAGTGTGTTCGGATGCTTCTCTGTAACAGTTGACTTTTATCCAAGGTACTGATCACTGAGTTCTTAGTGTCTGGAAGCAATAGCAACACTGGATATAATACCCTGTCCTGATTCTTTCATTGCATTGTAGTGCACTTCAGTCCTTGTTCCCATCTCTTTTTATCACAGGTCAACAGGACGTACTGCTGTGGCACCTACCGAGCAGGTCCTATGCGGCAGATAAGTCTTGTTGGAGCAGTAGATGAAGAAGTTGGTGATTATTTCCCAGAGTTCCTTGATATGTTAGAAGAATCACCATTTCTGAAAGTGAGTGTTAATTTAAATTATTAAAATTTTGGTCACCACCAAAGTGGGTAATTTATATTAAAGAGTATTAAGTTCACCTTGCCTATTAAAATTAAGTTTTATCTAGTACTATGAATAGAAGTATTTAGGAAAGTATTAGTATGAAGCAATACTTAAATTATTTTTATATACATTTTACGTTATATAGCAATTTATTTCTTTTTATACACTTGAAAACTGGCTTTTCAGAAATTTTACTTGGATAGGGGAGATGAACTTGTATAATCTAAAATTTTTTTAATGTGACTCATTCATCTGATTTCTAGATGACTTTGCCCTGG